TCCATCCACCGCACCCGGCCTGCGTACACCGCATTCATGGATACACCACGTCCATCCTTCTGCCACGCCTGGCCTGAACACACAGCATTCATCCATCCACAAGCACCTGGGCTGCTCCCACCTTCTGGGTGCTTCCAGGTGCTGGTGAATGACGTTGCTGTGGACATGGGTGTGCAGATATCTGTTCGAATCCTTGCACTCAGTTCTTGGGACAATACCCAGAAGTGAAATGGCTGGATGATGTGGCAATTCTATTTTAAGTTTTTGAAATACTGTTTGAAATAATCGCCATTCTGGTTTCCGCCGTGGTGGCACCAGTTTACCCTCCCTACGCTGAACACCCTCTGGGCTCTGCTGATTCCTCCCTCCCTCCCCGCAGACCCTGGCAACCCCGGGTCCTTTTACTGTCTCGTAATTTTCCCTTCTCTGGGGTGTCCTAGAGTTGGAATCACACAGTATGTGGTCTCTGCAGAATGGCCGCTTCCACTCAGCAATACGCATCTAGGGCTCTTCCACAGATTTTCACGGCTTCACGGCTGTCTTTTAAGTTGATTGACTTTATATGTACACATAGTTTAGGGAGTCAACTGGGTCAGTCTACAGATTTTTCTTCTTTTGTTTGCAAAAGCAGTAGTGCGTCCCAGCTCGGGGTTCCTGGCTCCCTGGCCTTGAGCATCAGATGACTGTGGTTCTAAGGCTAAACGCTGTAGCCTCTTGATATGGAGAAGGACACGGGAGAAGTGATCATGGGCTTGGCTCTCCACAACCTCCCTCTAAAACACATGAGCCGCCGAGATTGCACCACCAGAGACACAGGGACACAGTCCACAGTAAAGCCGGATGCAGCGCATTCCCCCAGAACACAAGATAGGCGTGGGCAGGAAGAGGCCACCAAGCCAGGGGTTGCTGAGCAGGAGAAAGCTGAAAGCAGTGGTGGGCATCAGTGGGCATCGGTGGGTATTGGTGGGCTTGGGACCCCATGGACCTCCTCAGGGGCTTCCTGAGCCAAGGTGGGGAGCAGCCATGGCAGGAGGGGGACACATTATTGGCAGGGAGCCAGGACAGCCCAGCCGGAAACGTTCATAATCGCCAGCACAAGCCTCCTGAGGGGAGAGTGCTGGGAGCACATGGGGCAGGAGAGAGGTGGCCCCAGGCTCAGCTGGGAGCAGGCGGGCAGGAGCGCCCAGAGCCCCACACAAGGTGCTGCAGGGTCACAGCTGTGCCACGTGGTGCCGGGTCTCCAGGCTGGACAGCGGAGCACCTGGGAGATGAGTCCGCAGGCCAGCAGTTTGGTCACCTCTCGCGGCACGGCCAGCCACTCCGAAGCTGAAACAGTGGCCAATTATTTCACGGGTTCTGGAGCTGGCATTTAGGAGGGGCTCATTTGGAAAGTTGGGGTGCAGGGTCTCTCACGTGGTCAGATGCTTGCGTGGGTGGCTGTTGTCTGAAGGCCTGGCTGTGCTCAAGTACCCATCTAGGCGCACGTGTCAGAGGGAGCCCAGGCCGGCGGTGCCGAGGGTGTCCGGGCAATTCTATTTACAGTTTTTGGTACAGGCTCTGCTCCTGTACCTGGCGCTGGTCCCTGGGCCCCTCCTGTGGCCACCACTTATTGACAAGATGCTGCCCCGCTTTGTCCCCAGGTTCTGTGAGTTTGGCAGAGGGGTTTCAGAGCATCCCTTCAACTATCTGGTGGGACGCTGACTCCTTCTCCTGGCTCTTCCCTTCTGGCACCTTCTCTCACTTTCCTGTGACCCCTGCTGGCTGCCCAGCCGATTCCCACGCCCAGCTGCAGCTGCTCCCTGGGGTCCAGCTCTTACATGCACTTCCTGAGCAGCTTTGGGAGCTCAGCGCCCAGGCCCCTCATTTCTTGCCTGTCTTGGGAGGAGGCTGGGGCTCATGTTCCCTCTTCCAGAAGCATCCAGAGCCCAGGGTTCAAAGGATTCTCCTTCCCAGGTGACGGCCTGGGCTGGCTCCCGCTGGCTGTGGGGCTGTGTGTGCCCTGCCCCCAGCCCGGGGCCTGCTCTCCTGCACACGGGGCTGAACAGCAGGTGCCTTTCTTCTCTCACTTTGGGGTCTGTGGCCATGATAAATCAGTGTAGTCGGTGAGACCAGAGCAGCCGGGAGGCTGGAAAGGGACAGCAGCCTGGAGCCTTGGCTCTACTGGAAGCTTCCCAAAGACCCTGGAGGGACGCCCTCCTCCCTGTGGGCAAGGCTAGGAAGAGGCACGGCCAGGAACCCAGGCCCTCTGCCTCCAGCCAGGGGGTTGCAGTCTGTCCCCAGGGGCTCGTGGTGAGTGCCCTGTCCCAGGAGGGCTGGTGGGAGCCCTGCTGATCCTGTTCCATCCACTCCCCTCACCTGACTCTGCAGCTGGGCCTCTTGCCCAGGGCCTCCTGGATTCTCTGCCGTGAATTCTCAGGGGTTGGGATTCTCAGGAGAAGCTCCACACCCTCACACCCCACTCCAGTCCTGGAGGGCTTGGCTGGCTCCTTCCAGGGCCATGTGTTGCCCCGTGTGTGCCCAGGGAAGCAGCTGGCATGGGGTTGCCACTGCAGACCAGGCTGCTGGCTGGAGCCGAGGGCTGAGGACCAGGCCAGCTCTGCACTCCCGGAGGTGGCGGTGGGGTGGCAGGGGAGGGAAGGGGTCTCCACTGGGCAGCAGCAGGCACCGTCTCCCTGATGCTCTGAAGGGCCTTGGATGGGCAGGGCCTGGGATCATCAGTAGAGACCTTCAGGACGCAGACGGGAAGCTCATTCCCTGGAGTCGGAGCCTCCACAAAACTCTGTCTCCTAC